AGGGCCGTGCCAGGGCCATCAGGGCTGTGCCAGGGCCACACCAGGGCCGTGCCAGGGCCACCAGGGCCACACCAGGGCCACACCAGGGCCACACCAGGGCTGTGCCAGGGCCACCAGGGCCGTGCCAGGGCCATACCAGGGCCACCAGGGCCGTGCCAGGGCCACGCCAGGGCCACACCAAGGCCACCAGGGCTGTGCCAGGGCCACCAGGGCCATGCCAGGGCCACACCAGGGCTGTGCCAGGGCCACCAGGGCCACACCAGGGCTGTGCCAGGGCCACCAGGGCCGTGCCAGGGCCATACCAGGGCCACCAGGGCCGTGCCAGGGCCACCAGGGCCACACCAGGGCCACACCAGGGCCACCAAGGCCGTGCCAGGGCTACCAGGGCCACACAGGGCCACCAGGGCTGGGCCAGGGCCACCGGAGCCACACCAGGGCCACCAGGGCCACACCAGGGCCACACCAGGGCTGCTTTGGGCACGTCCCCAGCAGCTCCAGCTGCTTTTGTTGTTTGTTCCCTGTGAGAGCTCCCTGCTCCAGGCCAGTCCTGGACCTGGCGCTTCTCTCCCCAGTTTGGTGCCCATTTAACCCTTTGTGCCCCGCTCGAGGCTTCCTTAGGAGCTGGTGTCCCTGTGGTGCCACTTCCAAAGCCTGGTGGCTTCTCAGCACGTCCACAGTTGTTGTTTTTGGGAAAACTTCACGTCCTGGAGGCTCCCAGCTCCCCAGACTGGGCTCTTTCTTCCCAACCCCATCAACTCACAGCATCCTTCAGGCTGGGGAAGGCCTCTGAGATCAAGTCCAACCTGTGAGTCCACCTCTCCTTTGGGGTTTTGGTGTCTGTGGCCATAAAAGGAGATTCTTGCATTCTTGGCTTTCTTTTCGAAGACTTTTTCATAGCTATTTTTTTTTTTTGATGTGATTTTGAAGTGAGGCAGCATCACTTTAACTTGGTTCCTCAATTATTCTTTCTCACCCTTTGCCTTAAGTGGGCTTAACTCTTGTGCCCTAGAAATAGAGAATAAATAATATAAGACTGAGAAGTATTTTCAGATTGAATTGTGGAAAGTTTCAGGTTACCTGAATATGAAAGTTTGCCAAGGCAACAGTGCTTTAAAGCCTTGGTTAGAGTAGCCAAAGTGAGGTGGGCAGAGGAGTTTGGGGACAGCTGGCCATGGTGGGACCCCCAGGGCTGCAAACATGGATCATCCATCCCATGACACCCCCACATCTCCCCCGACATGTGCATCCCTGCTGATCTGAGGTGGAGCTGAGCTGGGTGTTCCTACAGGAGCTCCCAGCTCTGGATGTGCCGGGGTGGGAGGAGGATCCAGGGGGGATTTAGGGGATGGGGGTCAGTGCAGAGTGCAGGATCCTCCTGGAGAACACTCAGATATCCCCCTGTGTGTGTCCTGCTGCAGCCCCATGAGCAGGGAGGTTCCAGGAGTGTTCCCTGCTCAGGTTTCCTGCTCCCCTCCTGCCCTTGGAGGTGATGCTGTGCCTTTCCTGTGCTCTAACATCCCTGTGCTTCCACCACTCCCGTCTGCTGGCACTCCTGATGCTCAGTTATCAATTCCAATGCTCTGTATGATGTGAAGCTGTAACTGCTGTGGAATAAATCTCCCTAATAAACGTCTCAAACTAACCCCTCCCGAGTTGTTCTGTGGTGAGAATCTCCGGGCTGATTCCTGCAGGGAATGTGCTGCATCAGCTGCTCTGCTGGTGCCACTGGAAGGGGGAAGTGGCTGGAACCAACATCCTTTGGGCAGAGGTGGGAAAAGCTGTCCCTGAAAGAGCAGGATGTGCAGAGTGTGGGACTCCATCCCCCCACAGCATCCTTGGAGGGACAGGGGTGTCCTGGATGGAGCACTCGGTGCCCAAAAGGGGCTGGAGGTCACACTTGGCGTGGTGTCCGAGCACAGCAGTGACCAGGGGGTGCTCAGGGGTGGGACCAGCCCTGTCCAGCCCCTCTGGGGACTTTGCTGGTGGCACTGAGCTCTGGGTGCTGTCCCAGAAGGGATGGGGCACCCACAGGGACCTGGCTGATGCCTAAAGAGGCTCCTGGAGCAGAGTTAAAGGAATAAAGCAGGGATTTATTAAAAAGCCCTTCACAGGATGCACCTTGGGCAGTGCAAGAGCCCAGCCCTGGCTCCACCCAAGAGTCCTCCTGGCTCAGGAGCTTTCACACTTTTAAAGGTTTTGGCCCATTTCCATTTTGGGGTGAATTGTGCAATTCCAGCCTCGGGTGATGCAGTCCCATCCTCCCAGATTGCTCCATCAATTCGCTGCTTTTTGGGTTGTGCTTTTTGGGGCCTGGAGCTGCAGCTGTGTCCTTGGTTCTGGGGCTGGGAAAGGATTGTTGTGTGTGCCTGAGCTGTGGGAGAACTTGGTAACACTTTATGTGAAATTCAGAGTTAGCTACCAATGCAGTACAGAAAATGTAAAAGTGAAAACTTGAGGCATCAGGCCAGGCTGGAGAGGAGGAGGGATTGTGCCAGCCTCAGCAGGGCAAGGTCCTGCACCTGGGCTGGGACAATCCCAAGCACAAATCCAGGCTGGGAATGAAGGGATGGAGAGCCCTGAGTATGAGAAAAACATCCAAAAACCCCAACAAAACCATCCCCAAATCAGTTTATTCTCTGTAGCATTTTGTAAATAGGACACCTACAGCGTGCTCTTCTAATTAGAGCTTTTCTACCGTGCCTTTCCTCTTTTACCTGCCTGTGTATTTCCCTTTTGGTGCAAGTTTTTATTTACAGAGGCTTTTGTCCTTCCTGGGCTCCTCAGAGGGGGCTGCATCCAGCCATGCTCACTGCCGGGGAGTTCACGCTTCCCGTGGCTCCAGTCTAAAAACAGCAGCCAAGTGAATAATTCAGCAGCTTTGCCGAGTTCCTCCGTGCCTCAGAGGGTTTGTGTGAGTCTCCCTGAGCTTTGGGGTGGTTGTTTTGGGGGGAAGGTGATGTGACAGCTGGGGGGGATCAGTTCCTGGCCCTGGTGAGGAGCTTGGGGGCACAGAGACCCTTCCAGGGAATGTGGAGCTTCCCCAGCTCCTGGGGGATGAGAGGATTTTCCTGCAGGTCCTGGTGCTCTTTCAGATGAGGAATTTGTGGCTTCCTACAGCTCAGGAGCTGAGCAGCTGCACAGTCTCAGCTCCTGAGCTACTCCTGAGCAGTTCAAAGAGCTTAAAGACATTTCCCAGGCGTTGAAGTGCTGATAAACCCTGGGAATAACAGGCAGGGAGCTGGGGCTGCCCCTGGATCCCTGGAAATGCCCAAGGCCAGGCTGGACATTGGGGTTTGGAGCAGCCTGGGACAGTGGGAGGTGTCCCTGCCATGGCAGGAGTGGGATGGGATGAGCTCAAGATCCTTTCCAGCCCAAAGCATCCTGGAATTGTGTGACCCTGTGGATGTGGAGGAGCAGAGCTGTGGGATTAGGGATGGGGAAGTTGGGGTGTTGGGATGCAGGTTTTCCAGCATTTCCAGCCCTGGGAATGCACTGGGAGCTCCTCTGGTGGCTGCCAGGAAAAAGAGGGACCTTTTCTGACTACAAAATGCTGT